CTGCTCCAAGGACTTCCCTTGAGATTCTCCCTCATACAATGGCCATTCTGGTTTCCACATAGTGTTAGTATCATCTTCTAAGTCCCAAGTAGCCTTCTTCATTCATTCTATTCTTAATTAATTTCCAGTGTATTTTCCTTTTAGGTCCTAACCATCTCGTCTACTGCGCCACTTATCCTTTCTAGTTTGGTATTGCTGCTTTAAAGCATAAGATCTAATACCAATATTTACGTTGAGACATTAGGCTCTCTCCAAAGAATCACCTTATAGCCCGCTGCATTTCAGACAGTTCCATTTTTTTTAACTAGAAAGTAATTTATTTGGCTCATAATCTGACCACTCTTAAAGGTATTAAATGCTCCCTCTCTTTTTCTTTATACATAGTTATTTGGCCACCACCAGGTCCCGAAGGCCAGATGCAAAAATTTTAAAAATAACTTTCTCTAGCCTCATTTCTATCACCAAAACTATTACCACCGATGCACCCTAGTTTATTTATTCCTACGTAGAATAAAATGCCATTTTGAAATACAGTTGCATCAAGTTAGCAGAAAGAAAAACCTGCTTTGCCTCTTGCCTTTGGTTTTCTATTGGAAATGAAACTATTGCTTTTCCCCCAAAAGAGATGAATTAATCTGCTTTTCACCCAAAGAAATATTGTTTTGGCATCTTGCCTTATGATTAATTACATGTACATCCTTTTCTACTTGCAAAATCCTTCTGCTAAAATGTTGGTGATGCGAAAAGTAAAATAAAAAATAATGTTTTGAAATTACTTTGTATCAAAATGGTCAATTTTTATTTTTGAATATGGTCAATTATCCTATATAATTTTTGTTTTATAGGCCAAGGATATTTTTATAATTTGGGCCAGAATTTCCTTAAGCATGGTCTGTAAAGAGTCGTCCACAGTCATCTTATGGGTCAGTTGCGTATTAGGTTTTTTTTATGGGTTCTAGTTGGTTTAGATGGTTTTAGAAGTCAAAATCTTAGTTTCCAAGGACCGAAGTCAAATCCCATTAGGACGATGAATTCTCAAGAAGTCTAATATAATGTTACAGTTCTAGGAGTGATTCCTAGAATTTTTTGCAGCTTATCTTCTTCCTTCTTTCACTTTTAGCTTATACGTTTTACATGCCTATTTTAACAAACGCTATACCCTTCTTTCCTCCAACTAACAAACCATATCTCATAAAAGAAACGCAAAAACCAGCCTCCATATTGTTCTTGGTTCATCAGCCCTTTGGAACAGGTCTCAACTCCTTCTACCTTTTTTTTCCTCCATTCCCGAAACTTTATCTGTTCGCACTTTTAAATCTGTACAGTTCTACATAATTTTTCAATTTTTGCCTCATAAAGTAGTCAATTAAGTGGTTAATTGGCACTGAGACCCCTTCAACTGATTAGTAGTAAATTAAAGGGGTTAATTATCAACTCAACCCCTCAATCTATGAACTCTAATTTTAAGCCCATTCAACTATGTAAATGCATTACTTTCACCCCCTCCAACCACCTTCAAAAAGGTGTATTTGTACGGTTTTTAGTAGTTGGGGGATGAATATGTTACGGGTTCATAGAACTTTTTGTTGTTGCATCTAGTAATTTTTGGGCCTCATACTTTTAGGAGAGTGTTACCTGCAACTTGGTCCTACATCAAGTTGGCCTTGGCTATTGCCCAAAGCAATACATACGGTTAGTGGCTAAGTGTACAATTAATCATAGCGCTAGTTGATTTGGCAATAAGAGTTGGTGAAACTGTTCTTTGTCTGGTTTTAGAAAGAACTTTAGTTTGGTATTTACTCAATCTAAATTTTGAATATTGCCTTTTCCTAGTTAATCCGCCAAAGGAAAAGGGGAAAATAGAGGTACATTCAAAACTAGTGTATTGCATCTCAATGCAACGATAATAAATTATTTTCTATATTACTTATGCAATGCGTTAGTGATGTAGGATAATTAGGAAACTAGTGTGCCTAAAGCTACTTACAATAAGAATTGGTTGGTTTTGGCTAACGGAAAGTTTTCAGTGTTAGTATTCTAAATGAGGTAGAAAAAGTGTTCTAACTTTTGCTTTGATAGATTTTAAGAGCTTTTGTATATGGGTTAATTAGGTTGAGCGCAATGTTTAGAATCTTTTTGAGGACAAAGCTTTAGTTGCAGGACATCGTGCAATCAGGTGGCGGATTTTACTCAGTATCGCAATTCTTGGCGTTTCCTAGAAAGAAACGTGTAAGAATCGCGTTTCTGTTTGGAGAGAGAAACGTGATTCCAAGTTTAAAATGGGACTGTAAAGGGGGGGGGGGGAGAGAGAGAGAGAAGAAGAGACCTGGTCCCCTGGCCATCAACTTCGACCTTCGCTCTAGCCCTAGCCTTCGAACGTCGCTTTTGCTCTAGCCCTAGCCTTCGCCTTCATTTTCTCTGTCTTCAATCTGTGTCGATCACCTCGTCTTTCTTTTCCTTCGCTTGCCTTCGTTGTCTTCTTCTCTCACTTCTTCCTGTTTTCTCTCTCCTCTCTCTCTCTTCTCTCATTTGTGTAATGCTCTGCTCCCCTCCCGTATTATACATATAATAAATAATATAATTTGGTTATAATAATAATAAATCTAATTAAATCATATATAATAAAAAAATCTAATAAAATCTATAAATAATC